AAACACAAGAAATGGTGAACACAGAGAAGAATCCAGAAGGTATTGTCATTGCAAATATTTAAAAAGGTGTAAAGATTGAAATTTTGGTAAAGGAAAATGATAAAATTGCAGGAGTAATTCCTTACCACATTATAACGAAAATACACTCCACGATGAGAAGTGTTTCACCGATCATATTTGTAATTTTTGCAGTGGTTTCCCCCCCACCCCCCTATACACCAGCCGGACAGCCTCCTGTCTCAGCTCAGCCGGGTCAACAACCTCAACCTGGTAGCCCCGCTCAACCTGGATATCCACCCCAGCCTGGTTACCCAGCCCAGCCTGGCTACGCAGCCCAGCCTGGTTACCCAGCCCAGCCTGGTTACATAGCCCAGCCTGGTTACCCAGCCCAGCCTGGTTATCCAGCACAGCCCGGGCAGTATCCACCTCAGCATGGGTATCCACCGCAGTCTGGTTACCCGCTGCCTCAGCCAGTTTACGCTCCACAGTCCGTCCAAAAAGTTCAGCAAAGTAACATTGAAATCAATATTGGCGCCCCGGTAAGTCCCTCTCGTGTTCATAGTATGTAATTTTTGACTGAATAGGAAGGTCAGAAAGGGGAGTCATTTGGCTCTCGATCATGACGCATGGACCGAGCGCAGTTGACGTCCATGTATCATGACCGAGAGGCAAATATTTTCCCGTCCGGCCTAAGCAACCTCAGTCAATACGCTTTTTATCTTATGGCGACTTAGTATTGAAAATGTTGAAAATTGTCTTTCAACTTACGCGATAGACAAGTGCGCAGGACAATACATTATAAAATAAAACTTTCCCTTGTTTTTAGAGTCAGAATAAGAGCCCTTTAATTCATCGAAAAACGGAACTCTTTTCACTCTTTTCTATTTTCCTTTGAGTATTTGCAACAAAGCTGTGTGAGGGCAGGGCCGGACGTTTTCTTCCGGACTGGCTCACGTCAACCTGCCCGGCCCTACAAACGTCAGCTTTCACTATAGTTGTCTATGATTGCGTGCGCAGGGCCGCACGGGCTATATGATAATAGAGAGATTTAGCACCGCGATTACGTGAAACGTGAAAGGCAAGAGTATCCACGTGACCACGATTTTCCCGCCATTTTTTCACGTTTGCCAGTTGCACTTTACCGTTTCTCCATGAAAGTAAGGTGTTTCGCGTTTGCCGGGTAAGTGAGATTTTCCTCACTTTTTTCTCAAGGAGTAGAAGTTAATTACTGGAAAAATGTAGCAAAACTATTCCCTGTGAGTCATACAAGGGCAGATGAAGTTATGATGTTGAAAATCCTTAAAATGCCTTCAGCAGACAGCTGCAAGAACTCATGCTGACTCATAAGACGTCTTCCAGTCCATTCTGAAGTGACGTGCACTCACGCGAAGCTGAAGCAGGAAGGTTCGCTATTTCACGTAAAACAAGCAAGCACCACAGCTGGTGTTCGCATTTCACGCTAAATCTCTCTAAGTAACTGTTCCTTTGACATTATTTGCTAATTTGGCTGTGTAACTAGCATTTCACGTGTCTTCCCTCCTCAAGGCTGAGCTTTCCCTGTCATTTAGAGGACGTTAACTGACTTCTTTATTCTTGTACAGGCAACCCAGACTGTCGTCGTGGCGGCCAATCCTCGTCCTCCAAATCACATGTGCTTGTCTGTGTTCGACTTCCTTTGCTGCGCATGGCCCATAGGACTGGCTGCTGTTGTGTTTTCTTGCATGGTAAGACGGAACTTAAACAATATGTTTGAAAATCCTTCCCATGAGGAATGAAAAACAACTGAGGTCTTGTTGGTCTAGAAATGTACTCCACCTTGCAAAAGTCGGTCCGTAGTGCTGTATACGATCACAAACGAGTTTCGATATGAATAACGTAAATTTGTTGCGAACTGACTAGGCTACGCCTCTTGAGTGCGCAAAATTCTGTCCTTTGTGATGACAAAGACCGTTGTCGATAAGAGTACAGGCTATGCTATACAACTGTGGATTTCAATCAATGAATTTTAATATATGAAAATCACATAGGTGTACTGCGGATTCATGAAATGTATGAAAACGATCCTCGCAGTAATGAACCCTGCTTATGCAATAGTGGAAATAAGGCCAATCGGTTTGTTAGCTTAGTTGACAGAGCACTGCACCGGTTAAATAATTTTAATTAACAGTAAGCTTCTATTGCGGTCACCCTCGAGTTTTTCTCATCCATATTGTAATGTACTTCGAAAAGCTAAAGGGAATATAAACTTCTTTCCTTACGCGAGAAAAAAAGGCAAATCGTGCGAGTTTATTCTAATTCTAAAAAAAAAACAACAACAACAATAACAAGAAACAAATCAAAACAAAAAAAAAACAGAAAGTTGCTATTTTTAATTACTTCTTGCTGCTCAACGATTGAAACTCTCACCCACGTCACCTTTGTCAACTCTATCTGAGGTAACAGCATACCATGAGGATCGGTGATTGTAGCTTAGCAAGAGCAAGAATACTCATTAGCAGATCGATGAAAGTGTAATGTGATCTTTTATGTTCACGCCATTCACAAAAGATCTGCCATCCAGTAAGAGAGCGTTTTTGACCTTTCGATCACTTGGTAGGTCATCTCCTTGGAAACGTTGTCGGGAGTTGCTTTATAATGAAATACATTTTGTGGCGCGAAAGCTCATGGATTCGAGAATTTTAGGGAGCCTTATCAAATAGTTTTCTAATTGTCAACTCTCCATAAACCTACAAAGGCCCCATATCCGGACATATATATTTTCTGTTGGACAATCAGATTCCATCACGTGATCGCCATTTAGCTCATAGCTTTTAACTATTCTTTATGACCTCTCCAGTTTTGAACTGACGGTTGGAAGAATCCCTCTTTGAGAACCTCCTCACCGTCTGATATAAAAGCGGCCTCGGAAAGCTACAGATAACACAAAGTGAAATATGTACTTTTTACCAATCGTCCCTTGAAAATATGTTTGGACGGGATCAAAATGGCTCGGGATCGCTGGAAATACTCCAAAAAAGTTATGTATTCTGATTAAAAGTCGCTTATCCCGATAATTTGCATGCTCTGTTCATGATTCTCACGGCCTGGGAACGGCGAGAAATTAGAGAAATCGATGGCCAAAGTACTGAAACGTTACCGTGATAATACAATGGCCGTAAAATAATTCATTGATATCAAGATGCCGAAAAAAAACACTCTTAGTCTTGCTCAGAACATTAATCATGAGGCCTGAAATAACTGGTGTACAGAACGGGAGAAATGAGTGACAACTGCGCAAGAGAGAGAGAGAGAGAGAGAGAGAGAGAGAGAGAGAGAGAGAGAGAGAGAGAGGGAGTGATCGTGATGCAAATATATTTTAGATAAGAACTGTTATCTGATATTTACAATACGTTATCGTATCGTATCTGGCTTACATTTGTTACGACAACTTGAGTTGAGTTGCCAAACTCAAGAAATTGATTTCTGTGCGTCATTTCTACATTGGAAGAAGGACTTTCTGTCTGATCTACAAGACCAGAATTAACCTGCAGGTTGAATGATGATTTGCGTCGAATAATACATCCTAACAAGGGTGAAGATCTCCCGCAGCAGATCGAGCGTGTAACCTGCATGAGACCTCTTCTATACTCTTTGTGTATTGCAAAATAGACACACGGGTTCATGGCACTGTTGGCGTGTCCGACAAAGAGGCAGTAGAACGATACGGTTTCTGGAATTTGGCATACTAGGTATTTCTTGCTGTAAAACAGAAGTAGAAAGATAACGTGATAAGGAAGCCAGCTCACTGCAAAGAGACATACGATAACAATTAGCATCCTGACAAGTTTCTTTCTAGCGGCCGAATGGGGTCGAACATGACGTAAGTGACGTTGTCCGGGGATTTGCCGATTCCAAACTTTGATTGTTATGCCAGAGTACAACACCGTTATAACGATAAGGGGTAAAACATAAAGTAATGAAAAATGTGTGATAGTGTAACTCCGGCCGGGGGGGTCTGATTCTGAGAACAACAGCGGAGTCCACTCTTCGTAGCATAGAAACTCCCCTTCGTATTCCGATAATTGGTTGACATAAAGGAGAGGTGAACACATCACGATGGAAATGATCCAAATCGGAATGACAATAGATCGTGCTTTATGGTTTAAAGTAGCTCTTTTTAAAGGAAACATGACCACCATAAACCTGTCGATGGAAATAGCTGTCAAAGTCAGGACAGAGCAAGCGATGGATACATCTTGGCTGTAGCCCACTACTTTGCAGATCACCATTCCTGTCAATCCACCAAACATTATCGCGTTGCTACCTGTTATTTGAACCTGCAGTTTGTAAGGCATGTGAAAGACTGTAATGAGGATATCTGCCATAGCCATGTTTACGATCAAGTAGTGTGTCAAATTTCGCATTCGAGGATTCTTTCGCACGGTCCAGATAACGACAATGTTGCCAAATAAAGAAATGACCATGGCAATCGAATAAAGTGTTGCCTGAACGAAACGCTTCTGCGAGGTGTTAATTTCTTCTTCCGCTGAACATTCTGGAAAAGGGTAGCCGTCGTCTGGGCCTGACTGATTATTCATGGAATTCTTTAGCAAGCTGTCTTTACTCATGGAGGTCCCTGTGGTGCATACGTCTCAATAAAACCAAGACCTGAAATAAAAATCACATGTTTCGTCGTAGCTCCTAAGGGCAAGGGCACTTTGAGAATACCTACTAGATCTTGACAGAAAAAGCTTCCACGACCTGTTTTAATCATTAAATTTTTAGCAATGACCAGTAAATTGTCCAAGGAAATGACAGAATTGTGTACCTACTGTTACACAAATGTCGTTTAAGACATTTTAATTTTTCTTTCGCTCAGCTTTCAGTTTCCGCTTTGCAATGGTAAGCAGATAATTTCACAAGAACGGCGAAGAAATATGCGCGAAGAAAGCGCGCCTCAGGAAAGCTATGAAGAATACAACGTGCCATTTCAGAAATCGGTATTCATACGGAAGAATCGGAAACGTTTAGAGTCATATTATCAACTGCGCATAAATCTGTCATTTTACATATTCATTCGATTTACCATACCAAAAGTGTTTATTTAAAATGTCGGTTCGAGTCGACCGAAGACAGTCAAGAGCACAGTTTTTTTTCAAAGGGGAAGGAAAAAACGTAGGTGTTTAAAATATTTCTTTATTTATCCGTGAGATAAAATTAAAGAAGCTTTACAATATGTTTTGATATCGAGGCTTACCCACTTCTCTTCTATTAACGTGCGAACTTTTAAACACAGCTATTGAAACCTAAAGAAGGCGAGTTTTAAATTAGGCCACGTCGCATTTAGAATTATATTGAAATGTCTCTGCGGATTTGATAAATTACAGTGTCGTATACCAATACAGTAAGAATGGTTCATTAGTTTAGAAATTTATTGGAAGTAGGCAGGTGATGCGACCGCTTTAGAAAACTGATTATAGACGCTGTTGATAATGAAAGTTCTGCCAATTTCGCCGAGCTTAACTGCCTGTTCGTTGCTTACTTTTATTTTTTTTTTCTTAGAAAATATCGATGTCGAAATCAAAGGAATCGAGTTCGTGATTTACCAGTTCGGAAATCAACCGAAAAAATTCAGTGAGTTCGAACAGTTCGGACAAAACCGTCAAAAAGTGTTATTATTCAATGAGGCGGTTCTTTTCAGGTGAAGTAATAATAACAACTAAGAGAGACCTTTGATTAAAAAATGTTGCTAGACTACACACACCAGCTTCAAAGGACGAAAATTGATCGTTCAAACTTGAGAGTCGTGGTCTTAAAGCAGTTTCAATTTGTTTTCGCTCTAAAATAAGGCAAACCGAGCCGATTGGGAAAATTTAGAGAAAGACAGGATACTATGCGAAGAGTGTAGCCGAGGAGCCAGAATGATTAAAAGTGTCTATAATACGGAGAGAAGAACAATGTGCGAAGTAGAATGATTTTTGAGGGAGTAGAATGATTTTTGGAGGAATAGAAAATTTTAATGAAAATTGAAATCTGAGGTCGTGATGTAGCTTCGTTTTTAAGTTTCAAAGCCACAAAGTTTTGCGATTGATTGAAAATGATAATCACAGTGGCCTTAACAATAGATTTCAAAATACGTCAACTGCATCGACTCAAAGAGATAATATTGCGCGAAGTGGCTAGAAATTAACTAAAATGGGATACACTTTTGTTGTAGGTATTCAAGCACAAGAATATTTTGAGAGCTCGATCCCAAAACTAAATCCTCAAAGGAAATTCTTTCCTATTGACGGTATCAATTACTTAATGCAATTGATTTGTTTCCCAAAACTACTGCTGCCTAAAAAGGGTCCTGTTATGATCAATCTCGATTGACACAAAATAATCCATTATCTTTCCTCACCTGTAGTCCTAGCTACTTTGCGAATAACTCAAACATAAGAGGCGACTTACAACTTCACCACCAATTCTTCGCCTTCAGTTGATGATGTTGCATGATGATTTTTTCTCGTGAGAATGTAATTCTACACCGCTGATTTTAGAATGAGAAAACTTCTAGTTGCTTCAGCTGACGTGAACAGCTAAGTGCAAGTGAGTAGTTGTAAAAACAAGAACGCCGACAGTACAAACACGACACTCCTCTGTTTACTCACTTAACTAGCAACTAATAAAGCAACCAGGTGCAAAATATAATTAAGACCGTCCACATGTCTCTCTTAAAGAGGGGCTGTGACTTATTCAGTGTCCCTGTTCCCTGAAATTGGTTTTTCTTTCTTTCGAACAACCGGCATTTGTAATTAATGGAGAAAAAGTAAGTTTCGATTTTCACCCCAAATCGTCGGTTATTCGTTTCTAGGACCCCATGTTTTTATTTTCCTTTTTTTTTTTTTGTTATTTTTCTTTTTACGAAAGAGTTTGGCTTTAGTTATTCGATTTGCTTCTTTCAATCTGTCATCATCTCACAATAGTCTGGAAATTGAAACCGATATTCTTGGCTCCTTTTTTGACTTAAGGGGTTGTTAGTAAAACGAGTTACGGCGTAACGAGTAACGGGGTAACGGCGCAACGAGAAACCGCGTAACGGGATTTTTTTTGATGTTATTACTTTTTTTTTTAATTTTTTTTAATGTTATTATTATTTATTAATTCTATTATTATTATTATTATTATTATTATTATTATTATTAAATGTGAACATCAGTATTCGCGATTGGCAAGGTTGTCCCGGCCTTTGGCCAAGGTTACCGCATTTCCAGAGACACTAGAAAGTGCGGGCGCACTTGCTCACGCTTACATGAGGTCGGTCATAGAGAAGAACGATGATGGTAAGCTTTGGACTTTCATTTTCAGTCAGTTAGTTTCCTTTCTTGCTCTTCGATCTTTTCAGTCACAATTTGTTTAGTGTAGCTGCAGGTTTCAGTAATTGAGTAGTTTTTGCGTCCGGCGCGCTATTTTTCAATTCTAACAACTTGCGTTTACGATTTTCCGAATAAATCATTTTCCTTGGGGAGAGAAGGCTTTCTGGTAAGTAAAAGTTGAATACTTAATTTGATGGTACATAACATTTTCTATTAAAATGTAGCTCACCTCTAACGCTTATTAATAGTGGTAACTATAGAAGAGCATTTAAAATCGCTTTGATTGTAGCGATGTCGATAAAAACTTTTTAATGTGGATACTAAGCTTATATCTGCTGGTTCCATGTGGCTGTCAAATTCAATTCACGGTTGTAGTTAAGGTTTTATGGTAAGATGTAGATTCAATGCTTCCTTTGTGTAGATGCAGATGTCAAGGACAGCAGACTCACTTCTGGGGTAAGATTTTCCGTTTAATGTTGTTGATATGCGTATCTGAATGCCTGTTATTCGAAAATTTATCAAACGCAATTGCAAAGTTTATGTCACGCAACGCCTCAATGCAGACTGACCGGAATAACCTATTGCAGAAACGTTAAAAAAATAGCAAAAAAAAAAAAGAAAAATAACATTAAAAGAAATCCCATTACGCGGTTTCTCGTTACGCCGTTACGCCGTCACCCGTTACACCGTACGCGTTTTACTAACAACCCCGTGAATTGAATTTGACAGCCACATGGAATCAGCAGATAAGCTTACTGATCCACATTAAAAATACTTTTTTATCGCCATCGCTACAATCAAAGCGATTTTAAAGGCTCTTCAAAGCCTCAGAGAAATGTACAGGCGACACTGGCTTAGTCTTAGCGATATTTGTATGCAGTATTTACACACTTCGCGATCAGGGCCCAGTGTTCGAAGGGTAGATAACGATGCAATGAATAAATCACTGTACAGCGGATAAGTTGAACCAAACATACTGCGCTATCCACCGGATAGAGATTTATCTGGTGGATAGCATTATCCGACCTTCGAACAACCGGGGCCAGGACGCCCTAATTCATCTACGTTTAATGAACCCTTGACTGGAATTCAGTCTCAAAGGATGGTACTAAGGGATCGACTTGACAATATTTCTCGGAGGAGAGCAGAATTTTTGGGAGGATCACATGGTTTCAGGGGAATGGAGTGAAAAGCAGTCCTCCCCACCCCTCCCCAGAAGACAAATAATAACTGGCCCTCAGTAGCGGAAAAAGATCGCCCACCATCTGTTTCTTATGTACAATTTGAACAAACTCACGCGGATTCGTTCTCCATATCTACAATCTCCATTCTGAGCATCTAGATCTAAATCCTATTTCAAGGATATCACAGGTGTTCACAAATACCTAGCAGTCTAGCTGAATAAAACGTTATACTTAAGTTAACATTTGCTGAGGTTATCAGATCAAAAGTGGACGAGTGCCACTTGAAAACTGTTACAGATCAACCTGACAACGCCACTGTTGTAGCTTCTACAAATCACAGCATGCCTTATGCTGTATACTGGCTGGAAATGTTCATTCAAAGGAGAAAAGTAAAGATTAGAAGATATTAAGGTGACCTTAGATAGCAGAACACCTGTTGTCCCGTTCTACCGCTATTAATTGTTCTCCACATCTGTAAACTACACTTTGTAATCAAGTAATCAAGTAGAATCAGTAGAATGAAGATTCTGTTTATCGACCTGAGGTTACAATTTTCGGTATTCCTTAGTGATTTGGAGTTGTTTTAAAAACTTAAATTCTTCAAGTTGACAGCAATTTACGTAGTCATGAATTAAGCTACACATCTTTCCATTTAAACCATGATATACAATTCTGAATGCGTTTGTTCAGATCCCAGTGGTCCAATAGGCTGTATTTTAGTACTATATGATCTGTTTTTTTTATTTGACGAGACCGTATTTCTTACTTTGAGAGATGAATCTCCATGCTGTCTGATCTAACACTTGCAGATTTGTCACCTAATAATATAATAATAATAATAATAATAATATAGTTTATTTCGGACCAGTTGCAGCCTAAGGCTGAATTACTGGTACAGTTTTAAAAATATACACACTGGAAACCTAAATAAATAAATAAATACACACAATACTTTACACAGGTTGATACTTAACGGTAACGAAATTTTTAAAACGCTCAGTTCTGACAAGTGTGCGGTGAGAAGATTTGCCTGATCGCAGACACATTTGCGTTAAGCTGTGAAGTACCCGCTAATAAATATGGCACGTCTCTTTAACTTTGAATCAGCTTCGGGGAATCGCATCCAATAATTCAGATTGTTTGAGGCCTTCTCTTTGATAGATGTAACTTGGATTTATTTTGTTCAACGTTATTTCCCCTTAAAAGTATCTATTCCTTTAATGTATTGTTGTCATGGATTTACTCAATGCTACTCAAGGCTTGATTTTCTCTGTTCCCCTTTATTGGACTGCTTCAGTTAACATCACTCATTTCCATATGATGCATGATCCTCGCAGTAGATAGCGCTATTTAAGCAATAGCGAAAATCAGACCTGAAAAAAACCAGGCCTGTACGGGATTCGAACCACTGACCTCTGCGATACTAGTGCAGCGCTCTACCAATTGAGCTAAGAAGCCAACTGGGAGCAGGCTGTTAAGTTGATTCGTAATAAACCCGTGAAAGTGATAAATTAAATACAATGAAATATATGAAGTTCATATATTTCATGCGTACATCATTGTATTTCATCACTCATTTCAGAAGGCAGTCCATCACTAAGTCTCACTTTAAACGATAAAGCACTGACCATACCTGGATCTTCAGGTTTGCTGAGCTTTTGTAGGTTTAGAGCTGTTACACCTTTACGAAGTCCACAACAAATAGATAAAAATCTCGCAACAACAACCTTGAACTCCTTTCTGTACTCGGAATGAAAAGCAATGTAGATGATTGGATTCATCATGCTGTTTGCATACCCAAGTAATTGTCCCCCAAACCACAAAAACTCAGGGGGACAAACGTCTCGCATGAAATACCCAATGAACAGGGCAACGTGTTGCGGAAGCCAGCATAGTGCAAACGCCACGACACTGGTGACAAGCATTTTGATTACCTGTGCTGTCATCCGTGTTCGCCTCTGGGAATTGCCAAATGAGGAGGCTTTTGCACTCGCTTGGCGCCTCCACAAGCTAACTGCAATGATTATGTAAAGTACCAAGATGACAGTGAGTGGGCATGCGTACATCAATAGGAAGAAAATAATCTGAAACACTCGGTTAGCTTTTGTTGTATCAAGTGGAGACCAGTCCTCGATGCAGTAGAACAATCCGTCGCCATAATAATCTACAGCTTTCACATTGAAGAAAAAAGGGATCGTGATGAGAAAGGAACAAAACCAGATGGATACCAACATCGCTTTGGCACGTGGGAGTGTTATGAATCTTTTGAACGGAAATATGATGGAGCAGAATCTCTCGATTGAAATTACCGTTAAAGTGAGAATAGAGCAGGCAACGGATAGGTTCAATATAACAATGCTCCCAATACAGTAAACTTGGCCAGCAACGCCACCGAAAGTTTCATCACTTCCAGTCACTTCAATTTTGAGCAACTCAGTCATGTTGAAGACTGTTATCAAAAGATCTGCGACTGTCAAGTTGACAATTAGGTAATGCGTCACAGAGTGCAACTTGATGTTTTTCCTAACGACGCACAGGACAAAAATGTTTCCCACAAGTGAGCAAATCAACACCAGCAGGACACTTCCTGCTCGGATTGTTTGTTGTAAGAGGGAAACGCTCGGATACCCACATGACAAAGCTCCTTCTTCCTCATATGTTGAGTTATTCATGTTGTTGTTCATCTTGAGTTTTTTTTATCTATCCAAAGAAGATCAGAATTTGAATAAAAAGAGATGAAGTGAATCAGCGGTTGTAGCGATATCCCCTTTGTCCTTGGTTATATAGCGTATTATTATATTACAGTAGGTGATATCCTTTCGATTTTTCCCTTGAATATTGAATATCCCATTTGCTCCTTCGTCAATTTTTTTTTTCCTGAGACAAGACGGCTGCTTTCGCAGTAATCAGCCTAATGCACTTTTACTTTAACTACATAAACTGGGCTTTATGGATTCAGCTGCAGAAAAAAATTAAAATCGATCCTCGATTCTTTGCTTTGTTTTCATAAGCAGTTTCCGTCGTTATTTTTATTATCTTTATTCGTTTGTTTCAGAACAAATCACCCAGTTTCTTCTTCGGTAAATATCAATTGTACCGCTTTGCACCTAAATAAGTTGCACCATTGTTGGCTTTCTAACGTTATTGAGATGATTATTTTTCTTTTCTACGCACTTTCCTGTTCCTCGATTGGTCCACCAATTGTTTTATTTGTAAAGGCTGATATCTTGTGTTTTTTTATTTTACCCCAGAGAATATCTTAATGAGGCTTTACTTTGCGTTGTACTAAAAAAGGCACAACTACCAAATAGATAAGCTTTTCCAAATTCCAACTCGCTGTACTCCTCAAAAATCCATGACGCAAACATTTCAGATAGCTAAACTACTTAAACTAAAAAAAAAAAAAACAAAAAAAAAAAAACAAGAATTAAAATTACAGTAAAACGCTAAATTAAAAAACTTTCCGAGTAGCTATTACAGCATTTCCTTATAGGACTGCAGCTGAGTTTATCGAAAAATTTTAAATCATAGCAGATCACAGCCCTCGATGTTCTAACGAGGACTCTGAAAGGTAAATGTTTTCATCGTCTTCGTTTGCCCTAAAAAATGTAGATCTTGACCATTTGCTCTATCTACAGTTTATCCCTAGCCAGCTAAAAGAAAAGTAATTGAAATTCAACTCCACAAACATACTGAAGATGTAAGTTTTCTAACCGGTAAACTTAATTATGTCCCCTGTACTCTCCTTCGTTAACTAAAATAATTAGGTCAAAACAGAAGTGAGCTCATAAACTTTAAATCTAGTCAAAAGATGCTTGAATAAAATAAATTTTACCCATTTCTGTCGCTCCTTGATTATCGCTGGATTCAATGGTACCGATTCATTTGCTTGCCACACGCTAAGGAACACTCCGAGATGACATGGGCTGTCAGTTTTTGTCTTAAATTGTGGCATTTATTGTCTGATCACCCCTTTCAACCTCTTTCCCAAATGTATGCAAGGAAAGTACATCAAGTGAAAAGCGGTCAGCTTACTTAGAGAAGCTCGAAATAAAGATTGTAGGGATCTATTCTACAAAAAAAGACATAATCCTCGGAAGATCGTATAATTGTTTGACACTGTTTTGGTATCTTTAGGAAACAATTGTACCGAGGGCTTACGAGATTTATTAAGGATGAAAACTTCGATGTACAGGATGATAATATTATCATGCGACTTCAATCTTTACGTAGTTAAGTCAACTCTGCAAAAATCACCACTGAATTTTACAAAAAATTGTGAGTTGATTCGACAATTTGTTGTAAGACCTTGTGTTTCAAAATTGCATTTTCTATTTTCCTAAGGAGAAACGGAAGAAAATTAGGGTATTTTCGTGTTAGTAGTCTTTATTTAAAGAATGTTTTGACACTATTCAGCATTAGGAGAGAATCTGTTGTCAAGCACTCATTCATCGAATACAGCTGAGAATAAGAAAACATTTTGAAAATATTTATTTGCTTTTAAAACGTCTTTTTGGAGCATAATGAGCATAATCCTCATTTTCTTGGATAACGTCCAAGATAATTTGAAGCGATTCTTCTCAAAGGCTCATTTTGATGATATTACACAAAAACGCTAATGCTACTTACAAAGAGATGAAAATAAATATATTTTTGAACAAAGTTGACCGGAAAATCGAAACTAAGAAATATTAGATTTCAAGAAAAATTTATACCGGCTGCAAAGAGTCGCTCATAGCTTGACAATTTTTACACGGGCTTATTAAGCTTCCCAACGGTTCAGCGGGAAGAATAAGATTTTTAAATTTAGAAAATAGATACGTTTGCAGGGCTGAGTGTGTATGCTATAAGGACGTCTTTCTGAGATGAAAATTTAAAATCAGCATTTTTACATAATTATTTAGCTCTTTGAAGCATACTTTTAGTCCCTGCGAAAATAATTTAACGTTTTACATTTCAGTCGCCAAACTGAGGCCATTAAATAACTGATTGTGTTCATTTCTACGACTTCCATGGAAAGAAAATATTGAAATTATTAACTAAGCAAACGACTTAAATATTTGCGACTTTACCGCGATGTTCGAACCTTTTTGTTCCTTTGATATCCTTCTAGTTTACACCCTGTTACCATCGTCGGCTTATTTGAAACTCGGAGTACTTGCGTAGAGCACCCTTGTTGGGATATCATTTACTGAAAATGAGCTGCTGTTTTTGATGAACAATGTTTATAGCTAGCTTAAGAAGAACTTATTAGAATCACAGGTAAGATATTGAATTTCTTGCCAGTCAAATGTAAAATAGCGCTATCATTATGATAGCGCTATTGTTGGCGGCCGAAGAACTCGAATAGAGTTTGTCATCGATGATTAGACATTATCTAAAGATCAGATAGGCTAGTTCAGTCTGCAATAGATTTTTTTGGGCTATGTTGTGTCGCCTCTCAGCAAAAACAAGTGTTACATTGAAACCCATGATGTTTAAGTCACTCCTACGAAGCGAGGTACACATGTTGCCGATGTAATTTAAAAACAACTTCGGCCTTCATTCGTGACTCAATCCCAAGAAAATGAAGAAACACATTAAATTCTAAAATAACTCATACTTAGTGCCAAATTACATAGTAATGGGTTTAAGGTCGATGAACCAATTCTGGATAGCCAATCGTTTATCATGTTTAAATTTGAGAGATACCACTCAAGTTGTTCTGTGGCACATGAGTGTCAATGGACTACTTCTCAGAAAAAAGTATTTTAACTTTGCTCAATTACTGTGCAAAGGATTCTACAATTTTCATCCTCTTTTCCATTACAGTCTATTACGTCTTTGGAAAAAACAGTCAAGAGTGTCAATTTCAATGTCAGCGGAAATTTAATGTCGACAGAGCTTTTTTGTGACCTTTGAATTTGCACTTTTGTTCAGCATTTTGGCGAGCTTTCTTGTCTTTCGGGACTATTTTTGTAACCTCTCTATGACCACCATATGGTTCAAATATAAATATCTTCGATCTTTCACAGCCACTTCCTTTCTTTTTTATTTCCTCCATAACCAACTAGGGAATTTTATCGGTCCTGTTCCAATTTCTTGAAAGGCCACGACAGCTCCGCTGCAACTCCATGTCTCTCGTGTAAATTATGTTTTATTTTGCTATGATTATAATTATCATTGGTATTATTCCTATCCTTTTGATCATTTCGACACTGATTTTAACCTTACACCCGATACGGAATAAAGGTCTATGAATTATTATTCAAATTCTACTGGTTTATGGGCGGAATCCCTATTTCCTTTTCAGTTGCATGGTTATCAACCTGTTAGAACATTGCTTGTTCTTTTTCTTTTGGGAAAGTCCTCTTAGCTCTAAGCACACCTGCCCTTGTCCGCGCATGTAAGTAAATAATTAAACCATTACACGATGGAGTCATTTTAACTGATATCAGTTTCAACTCAACCCGGGTCTCGATAGTGTAACTGCCCTGCATATTCTGTGAACTAAAGTTAAAGGAAATATATGTTCAACCACCTACCTAAACCCGGCATGAATAAGTGCTAAGGAAAGCAGCACTTCTATAATTCAGTTCAATAATGAGCGGGTAAACGTCGCATTGTAACACCGAGGAAGTCACGTCGAAGATGACTTTGAATAAAGCAGATAACTCAAACATAAACACGCTGATACTGTTGATTGGGCCTCACGGAAATTTGTCAACTCTCTATTGTTAAAGACTAATATCGAAAAATAATTGAACGCCTATCCGTGTGGTCTGAAGAAAGTAACTATGATGTTAACTCGACAAAAATAATGTAATTTTAACTAAGGCTTTACGTCACCCACGCATTGGGTGATACGGTTGGTAATTTTCTCTTTCGCTTAAAAGAAACAGGACGACGTTTTCGGCTGGGAACGTTCGAGTCCGTTGCAGTGCCAGACAAAAATCGGGACCAAACATTTCAGGTAAGTCGTTTTAAATTTTATGAAATTGAAATTATGAGATTAGTGTATTGTTCAAGGTGCATGGTGGTTCGAAAACTAAATTTGTTTTGAAACTGAGCAGTGTCGTGTTTTATGTTAAAGAGACAGTAGAGATAAGAAATCACGAGTCTCCTTAGAACAAGAATTTTGTATCTGTAATCGTTGCCACTCGTTATCGAAAGCATGTTTGTGCTCATTCAAAACAATTTTATTTGGTTCTCGTTTAAAAGTCTAACACTAAGAAGCTCTTAGATAAATATTAACATCTCGTTGTGAGATAAAAATTCAACAACGCTACATTTCAACAGGCCGTAGAACTTCCAAACCCTACATCTATCTGATTCTCAGAATTTTTAGAGTTTTAAATTCGAAGCACGTTGTCAGGTCATGTATTTGTGAATGGAATTTGCCTTGTAAATTAGAACAGACGAACTGCCATGCTACAAAGATAGCAGTAATGAGACCTTAAAAAGTTCTTTCGAAATTATTATGAATACCGCAGAAAAGAGTGATGGCAAATACTTTATACAAGTCCTAACTAGAGAGAAACAAATATCGTAAATCTGTAGTACACCATCTGTGGCTAAAGAGCTAGACTCGTAAACACATAAATCCAATCCAACGATCAAAGCTGCCAGTCAAAGCTTAGCTCAATAACTTATTGAAATGGAGCTCTTGCTTTGCTGGCCGTGTCAAAGCTGTTCACAGCTGCATTTTAGCAATTCCTAATATACTACATCAAAACTGAAAAAAATTCAAATTTTGTGCTTTCCGAGTTAAGAGCCCTTGATACAAATTATGGACAAAGTACTTTTTGTGACAATATTTATAGCAAACACGCTTTTCTTTCTAAAGAGGACGTATTGATATAAATCAGATTCGGACATAGTCACCTCAGAAGTTTCATAACACTTGTGAAAAATCAGCATCGAAGAATCATTAAATGTAATTTCTATCCGTGTGGTATCAAGTAAATTGAAATAAACTGCAAACATATCATTTACATTTTATCGTTTCTCAATTGCAAAAGAATGATTGGCTTTTTCTGTTGTTTCGTGCACCTGAGGAACAGTAGGCATTAGCGCAAGAAACCAAACAGTACAGGAGACCAAACTTGTAATAGTTTTTATCATCCGTTTTCTGTTTTAACGAGCCTCTAAAAACTTTGCGACGCAGTTTCAGGTGAACAGCTCTAACTTTCATGAGTTTGAACTTGTCAGTTTAATTAAGGTATCAGGGAAGGTTAATTAGCGATTTCATTCGAACTGAAATAGCCTGAAAATTATTTACGCTATCCCAATAAAAGTAGACATTTTCTTGATGTTTGATAAACACCGGTTTCAGATATTTCATTTATTTTTTTTTATTTTTTTGCCATTGAACAGAATGGGCGCCTATTTTCTTTCTTACGCAGAGAAGTTCTACGAGATAAGTTTATTTGACAACGCCGCTTTTAGTTAACACCCTCTCTGTCTTTTATCTGAACGTGATCTGCACACATTAAACTACAAAACTGTGTTGTCGGAGACTTTGTTATTTGTGCGTGACACATATCAGATGAAGAGTGTGAACCGTATGTCAAGAGCCAGAAGCGCCGCCTGTAGTGATTTAAGACATTGATCGGTTTACATTATCAATGCAACCTTGAATGACCTTTCAAATCAGTAGTTCGCAACCAATCACAATGTAGAGAATATCGTATAAGAGAGTGATTTCTTACAAATTTTCCAGAGTAGCTTTTTACACACCCGTTGTAAGAAAGCGAATACGAGAGCGGAATAAAATAGTTTGATTGAGTTTAGTTCGATAGAAGTCTATCCCTAGTAAACGGGGCAAAGTTTACGAAAGTGTCTAGGATTCGTCTTTTGACGCTTAATATTTTTTAATAGTTTTTTTTTTTAATTCGAAGTAGTGTTTTTGAACAAAGTTTTCATTGTAGAGGCTATATCTCAAAAAGTAAGGAAAGAATCAAAATTTCCAGACACTCTTTTGGGGTTCATTGTATTTCTGACATGATCTACAAATATCATGAAAATTGACCGAGTATTGGCCCAGAATAGACTCATAAAATTTCAAAACTCAAGCGAAAGCACTTTACGAGAAAAAGTGACTTAAAGTTTTTTGGGGCGTCGTCGTTTGGTTTACATTCAATTAACTTCTGTGAGGGCTGTAGTCCAATCACATTGAACCAAGCTATTTTGGAAACAGTTTTGCCCAGCTGTCGGGCTGATACGTGCAAGAAAGCAAAGAGCGAGTAAGGTCGAGCAGGTTAAATGAAAAAGCGTGAATATGAAGCTATCTGTGTCGATATGGAAGGTGCTTCAGCCTGCAAAAAGTGGAGGAAAGAGGAGAGCTACACTGAAAACACAACACAGCTTTTAGACGATCGATGCTCGAAGTGAAATGGTACGCGAATGATTATGGACTGTCGGCGATATTGTTCGCGAACTAGCGCGCACGATCGAACACAGTTTTGTGCTTATTCAGAATCGCTTTTACAGGGTTATGTCTTAAAAGTCAGCAAAAGAAAAGCCAGAAAAGTTAAAATCCTGACATTTCCTCCCTGTGGGTGACTCATAGGGAGGAAATGTGTTTGGTGCCTTTTCCTTTACAAGCTGGTATCCCTAAAAGCCTTGATCTAAAAAAATGACTGATGAATAGAGTTTTGGGCAAAGTTAAAGTTTTCCCTTTTTTCCCCTATTTGCAGAAGATTATTATGACAAACAACACAAGTTCCAATTCAACGTCAGAACCATCGCCCTCCTACAGATGTCCCACCCGTCCTTTCACCACCGTAGAGGTATGGTTCCAAGTGTCCGCTTTCGAGATTATCATGGCTGGATCCATCATCGGAAACGTGTTTTTGATCGCCATAATAAAGAAAAACCGAATGATACACATTCCGACAAACTTCTTCCTCGTGAGCTTGTGTATTTTGAATCTGTTAATTATTTTAATCAATACTCTACCAGACGTCCAGGGGAGGATAGCACCGCAACTCGGATTTATCATTACTGGTAATTACGGTTGTTTGTTGATCCTGATAAAATAGTAATAGCTTCAATTTGGCGAGAAAACATGCATGGATATTTGTCCGCAGACATCATCTGCTGTTCCGAGGAACAAACAGTTTTCCGAGAGCGAAGCTTGGCGGAAAACTGTGAGTTTCGAAAATAGGACGGATCTCTGATCATGAGTGGAAACAACTTCAAGCAGGTATCGGGCAGGTATCGGGCAGGTATCGGGCAGGTATCGGGCAGGTATCGGGCAGGTATCGGGCAGATATCGAGCAAGCAATTTCTATCTGTTCGCGCAAGTTGCATAAGGTTAATTTGAATGCGTGCGTACGATTACCCTTAAAATAAACAACGCTAAAGTCATAAGTCAATAAAATGTATGCTTTCTTTAAGAGAATGTTCTAGGAAATAAATTTACTGTTGGATCATTCGTTTGTTTGGTTTTAGACCCCCCTCCCCTTCCCCCTCCCCTTCCTCCTTGCACCAAGTTCATGTACAGAGTTGGTATTTCGTCGTGAATTGGGATGGAAAACAATTTTGGACATATGTTGGATGGATCATTGAAAAATCTTCACCAAAAGTAATGAAACCGGCGAGCAGAACGAAGAGCAACATCTCAAATTATTAATACTGATCCAAAGCTGAGACAGAAAATACATTGTGGGAAACGATAGCCAGAAAGCGGCTACTGTTTTTTGT